GAGATACAAATAATTTTTTCAGTTGCATGGGGACATAGAAGGTGGAAACTATTTATTTTAATTAAAATTTAAAAAATATTTAGAGGAACAGCCTTTTTCCACCAGCTCCTTATCAGACTTCCGTCCAGTCGTTGACTTTTATCTGTCATAAAATACACAGATTTGAAAACGGGCCCGGAAGATGATAAGCGCTGGAAGTTTAGCTTTTTAGGGATAAAGAGAAATTTAAAAAAAATTTTTTTCAAAAATTAATTTGCGCAGAAAAAAAATATTTTATTTAAAAAAACTTTTATTTATAATATGCCTTCCATTCCTTTTTCAAATATCCTTCAAGAATAATTTGGTCGTTGTAAAATTGAATGAGGGAAAAGTTAAGTGATTTTGACTTTTGCCGGCTGACAAGAAAAAAAAAGAAAAGGCAAAGGAAGCTACGGCAGGATGTCGGCAATTTTTTTAATGTGCCAGGAGGTTAAAGGCGCGGAAAAAACGCGCAAATCCAATTTAAAGAAAAAGGAGAATAAAAAGAAAAGCAAAAAAAGATGCTCAAGATTTTGCCTTTTGGGTTGAGGCTAAAATTTGAGCTAAGAGAGTAAATTAAAAATAATCGAAAAATAACTTAAATACTAACAAAACCAGAATTTTATGTTTCGCTTAATTAATAGAAACAAATACATTTTTATAAAATCAGAATTTTTGTATTTTTATGAAAAAATTAAATCAGAATTACTTGTGAAAATACATTTTTAACCATGTATATATTAAAATCAGAATTTATTGTATTTTTCGAACAGAAGAAAAATCAGAATTTTTTGGTTATTTTCAATAAAAACGCATTCTTAATCTCCGTAAAATAAAATCAGAATTTAATGTAGAGTTGGCCGGGATCGGGATCCCGGTCGGGATCGGGCGGGATTATCCCGGGTTTTTCAAATCCCGATCCCGATTTTTCTGATCCCGCTCCCGAAATGAATATCCCGATCCCGATCCCGGTTAATTTCAATCCCGAGCCGGGATCCGGGATCGGGATCGGGATGTGCATCAAATCCCGATGCAAATCCCGACTTTATAAATTGACTAGAAGTCTGTGAATTAAAGTTAACAGAAGAGGGGAGGCATGAAATTAAGAAAAATTTTCGCCTGCGGCGCAGAAAATGGAAGAAATTTGGCATCTAGACATTCAAAATTCTCAAAATTTTCGCCTCCGGCGCATAAAAGGAGCAAACTTAAACAAAGCTGTCTATAAAACTTCGACGAAATATTGAGTGATTTGGTATGATATCGCATGATCAAGAGGGGTTGAGGGGAGTATAGGTGGATTTGGGGCATAGAAGGATATCGGTGGATTTACAGTGATTAAGTTAGATTTGAAGAGAACCGAGGGTTTACGAGGGACATGAATATATCGCTTAATCACTCAATTTCAGTTGAACGTAACGCTGAACGTTGAACGTAACATTTGAACGTAACACATTTAATCATTTAGAGACTTACATGCCCTTGGCCTTCCAAGATTAAAAATTATTGCCTGCGGCGCTTAAAAGGGAGTAAATCTGGCACCTTGGCCTTCAAAATTTGGAAAACCAAGGTGCCAAACTTTTCAAAAGGTGCAAATTTTTTGAAAATTAAAAGCCCAATCCCATTTATCCTCCCCCCCCCCCCATTACCTTATCCCCCCTTAATACCCTAAACCGGAAAGTAAATCATGCGTCTATGAGACTTTAACTCAATATTTTAGCACCGCAGTGGAAATTTTGGTACTTTTCCGTTCTGCCACACCCCCCTAAATTAATGTTCAAAATGTCATATATGGGGTAAAGAAAGGTACTGAGTCGAACAGTACCACTCTTTTCCCCAGGAGATGCCTTTGAACCAAAATTTTTTGCTCGAAATGGTCAAAAACCATAGGGGGGAGTAAGCTCAATTTCAGGATAAAAAATTCAAATATGCAAATAATACCTCATTCGAAAGAACTCGTCGAGCTGAGTCGAATGTCACCAAAATTAACGAAATCTGATTTGATTTGACCGAGATACAGGTCTCTGAAAATTGAAGAACCACACACATTTTTGTATCGTAACTTGGTTTAAACTTGTTAGACCGCGGTGATTTTGGTGTCTTTCGACCCAGCTCGACGAGCTCTTTCGAATGAAGTATTATTTGCATATTTGAATTTTTTATCCCAAAATTGAGCTTACTCCCCCCTATGGTTTTTGACCATTTCGAGCAAAAAATTTTAGTCCAAAGGCATCTCCGGGGGAAAAGAGTGTTACTGTTCGACTTAGTACCTTTTTTTACTCCATATATGACATTTTGAACATTAATTTAGGGGGGTGTGGCAGAACGGAAAAGTACCGAAATTTTAGAATTATATTGAGTCGTTTGTGAAGAAAATAAAAATTTAAAAGTTAAAAAAAATTTTTTAGTAAATCCCGATCCCGATTTTTAAATCCCGGTCCCGATTCGGGATCGGGACCGGGATCGGGATCTCCAGTCCAAATCCCGATCCCGATTTCGGCCAATCCCGATCCCGTGTCGGGATCGGGATCACCATTCCAAAATCCCGATCCCGGGTTTTTCTCTAAATCCCGATACCGGCCAACTCTAATTTAATGTATTTCTACAAACAGAAATCAGAATTTTATTTATTTTTATTTAAAATACACATTTTTAAAAATCAGAATTTTCTGCTTAATATAAAAATACATTATTAAATTCTGTAAAATAGAATCAGAATTTATTTGTATTTTTACAAACAAAAATCAGAAGTTGTATTTTTAATAAAAATACATTTTTAATTTTTTACTATAATAAAATCAGAATTTTCCTTAAATTCTATAAAAGATTTTCAAAGGCTAAAAAAGAGTGATGTTGTCGTGACAAGCTTGAACAACATGGGCCGTGGGAAATATAAAATACTTAAAAAAGAAGTGTCAAGAAATTTCCCATTTTTGGCATATGAAGAGCATAAAAATTATTTATATAAAAATGTGGGCAGTCATGAATAAATTATTATACTATTTTTTTGCTAAATAAAGAATTTAACTTGGCAAAAAAAATATTTTTTTATCCTTAATTTCAGAAATTTGAGACGAAAAAATTGGAGAGATGCAGAAAATTGAGCTGCTTTGGTTAACTGAGCTGCTGACTCGTTTTTGTATCTTCGTAGTATTTGAGAAATTGTAATTTGTCTATAGGGGTCAAAAAGCGATGATGACCTCTTTTATGTGAAACATGCGCAATGACTATAAAAAACCGGAAGTGAACGAAAAAAGATACTGGAGGGAGTATCTGTAAACAAGTATTTCGGGTTTTTATACAATCAGACCCTTGCTCGGATAGCACTCTTGGGCAGAAAAATAAAGACTGAAAGTTGGACCTTATTTGTAGGCAAAACATAAAGAATGTCATTCATACAAGACATAAAGATTTAGGGAAACTTCCAACCTACGAATGCATTTTTGCTGCATACTACTTACTCCTTTCTTAACTTTATTTCCCTTAAGTTATCAAATGATTGGGATTAAAGAATATAAATTTCGTAATAAAGTTGCCAAATATATTTCAAGCAAATTAGACGAATAAGAACGCTTGGTTAAGGGGAAAATATCGAAATGCTGCCTAATCCCGAGAAAAATAATTAGCTAAAATCACACCTCCTTAACAAGTGCTCAACTATTATTTTATCCTTTTTTAAACTTTTCTAATCACTTGATTTCTTCATGTTTTCCCATATTTTTAAGAAAACATTCTCAAAAACAAGTTTTAATGTCAGTCTGTTTTTATTGACGTTAGTTCACATGACATTTTAAAATATGACATTTTGGCCTTTCTTTGCTATTTTGTTGCCTTATTTATTTCTACTTAGTACTATCATCGATTCATCAGAGCGTCTGTCAAACGAGAAAAGAATTAGTACAAGTAAAAGGGAAAAACACGAGAAAAATGGGTGGAAATAAAAACAAACAAAATAGTAAACCCGCACTTTTTTATTATTGTTTTATTATTAAAAACGGTTTATTCTTTGTGTGTAAATACTTTAATGGTTTTTATTGTATTGGTTAAATACATATAATGGTTACACACACACATTTTTGCATTTTTTGTGTTCTTATTTTATTTTTTAATTTTGAAAATATTATATATTTTACTCCTTAAAATACACCTGTCCTCAAGATTGTGTTGGCCGCTGGGTGAGGGAGTGATATTCTATGCGATACTCCCTATATACACCTCAAAAGTAGGGTTGGACAAAGGGGGGTTGGACCCTAGTCTGACAAAAAAATTTTGGGTTTCGATTATTTGGGTAAAAACAACGGTATATAGGCATTTTACTTACACCTTAAAATACACATGTCCTTAAGATTGAGTTGGCCGCTAGATGGTGAGGGAATGTCTAAGCGATACCCTCTATTTTAGATAGACATCAAAAGTAGGGTTGGACATAACCGGTTATTAGCCCTCGTTTTTTGGGTTCGATTAATTGGTAAAAACAACGGTCTTTGACGGGAGCAGGCCAAGGTACCGCAGAGCTATAACTTCGTTCAAAATGGTCGAATCCGGGACTCCTTGTATGGTTCGATTCAGCTCGTCGAGATGCATCGAAGCATATCAGGGTGTCCCGGATTCGACTATTTTGAACGAAGTTATAGCTCTGCGGTACGTTGGCCTCGCGGTACGTTGGGGTGTACCCGTTATCGGTTCTAGTTCGGTCAAGTTTGTATCCAACCCTACTCATAAAATACAATTTATCGGCCAAACGAGTGAATCTTATAGTGAGGTCTGGCTGAAAAGCCCTCGAAGGATTACATGTTGGTAAACAAATTGTTTTGAGCCAAAGTTTCAACTTTGGTTCATAAATTTAAATTACTAGCTTCTTCCACCCCCTCAGAAAAGTTGGGATTAACGAAAGACTGGGGGGATAAATAAGTGGGAGGTTTTTATTTATTTTTTAATATTAATCCACCTCTTGCCCAACCACTAAATAACAAACAACCACCTTTTCACTTTATTTTTTTCCCTTTTTTCAATCCTCTTTCGTTAGTTACCCCGACCCATGCACTCTTATAAATATAAGGTTGTTTTTGTCTGGCCCCTATATTGAGACACCAAAGTCCTCTCTGTAAGGGGAAGCCCTCACTTTCCTTCCCCTTTTCTTTCACCACAAGACTGACTGGTTGTTGTTTACGCCAATTCTCTTTTCTATTTTTTGAGCGCATCCGTCTGACCGAACTGATGCTTTCACAATTTTTTGTGTTGTTTTTCTTACCCCCCTTCCTCTCTCTTTTTTGCTTGTTTAAGCATTTGGTTGTTATTTGCTTGTCTCTTTCTTTCACTTTCATTGCCCCATTATAGTATTATTTCTTTTTTGCTTTTTCAAAACATCCACGGGATTTTGTTATTTTTAAAAAATAAAAATTTCGAAAAACATTTTTTTAAATATACATTTCATCATATTGATTATTTATTAAGTTGGGCATTTTGAAAAGTTGAGATTTTGAAAGTTGACATTTTGACATTTTTGTTTCTAGATTCCGCGTTTTCAGGCGTTTTTAATTTTTTACAAAGCAATTTTCTCTTAATCCCTCTGAAAAGTTTCGGGCTTTCCAACCCTTCTCTTAAGATGGCTAGAATGACTCAGAAACAAACAACGACAGACGAAGAAGCAAAACAAATACAAAATTTGCACATTGAAGCAAAAACGGAAGGAAAGAGGAGCTCGCCTAGTGGACGATTGAATGGTACTTAAAGAATATTTTTTTGTAAATAAACGAAATTTTCTCTTTTTTAAGCTGAAAAAGTCGGAATTGCTTTGGAAAGTATTTTAAAAATTAAAGATAATAAATTGCCTTCTTCCACAACCGAAGATGATATCGAGAACGATTCATTTTCGTCTTCGTCGTCGTCATCTCCTTCGTCACTTTCCTCCCATTCGAGCACCTTAAAAGGTAAATTTTTTATAGTCAAAATTTTATTTTGTTCGACGAATTGAGTTGTGACGAGGATTGAGAGGGAAAGGAAGGGTTACTTGAAATGTTGGAGATCGCAATTTGTGGGGGGAACTGCAACACGGGGGATAGAAATACAACCCGTTTAGGAAGGGCTTGTTTTTTGGACTGGGATGAAACATGCATCTCCTATACCGATGTTCCTATTCCAGTTTCTTTCCAGAAAACGGGGAAAGTGTTTTAAAGTAAGGGGGCGACCTTTCGGGGCAAGGACCGATTTCACGGGGAACGGGGCGGTTCCTGGACTGGAGGACCCCCACAAGCCTCCTCTCTGGGAAGCTACCTCTACGGGGACGAGGGTAAGATCTTATTTTAGGACAGCCAAATAAAATCACGTATACTTTCACCGTTTGTCAAACTATTTTTTATTATTATTTTTTTTTTATTATCAAACTATTATCTATTTAGGTTTTTCTGTTTTTCCCTTCCAAATTTCTATAAAAATTGTTTTTCACAAAAAAATTAAATTTTTTCTATATTTTCGTCACACCTCCATTTCATCGAACAACCCTTCCCTTCTTTTACATAGGTTTTCTTGTGTACTAGTAATAAACAAACATCTCTACTAGTTTTCTTCTCCCAGACAAAAAATAATAAATAAATTTAAAAAAGGTGGAAGTAGCAGTGATGACAACAATAAAAGAAAAACAAAAACAACAACAGATGGGGGGTTAGAAGGAGGAAGCAGTCATCACCTCCCCCATCACAATTATAGTGAACATCACACTGACCGTTTAAACACAAATTTGGTTGTTGTAGGTCAGCAGGGCCCGGCACTGCCGCCTTCAATGAAAAAAGTCTTTTTGGAAGAAAATGGTCTTTTTTTTGTTGTTGAGAGAAACTAAAATTTTTTTGAAAAATTTTTTAAAAATTTTTCCAAAAATTTTTGAAATTTTTTAAAATTTTTTTTGAAAATTTTTAAAAAATTCTTTTAGAAATGAATAAAATAACAACAAATTCTATGTCAGATCAAACACGTACAATAACCAGTCGAACACCCAAAGATTTTTTCTTTATTAATGTTTTGGGAGAAGGAAGTTTTTCTACGGTAAAAAATTTTTTTTTAATTATTTTTAAAGGGTGTTTTTGGAAAGAGCTTTTAATAATCTCACCTTTCCATTTCTTTCCCTTTTCCTTTGTTTTCTGACTAGGGTTGTCGGATCTGGACGGAACCGAACCGAAGAACCGATGATTTTTCGGTTCGGTTCTTCGGTTGGGTTCCGGATATCCGAAGATTTTCCAAGGACCGACAACCCTATTTCTGACAAATCACCAAAAAAAGATTAATTTTTGGCGGTATATTAAATTTGTGAAAATTTGTATGTTTAATAATAACAATTTCTCGAAGGCTTTTGGACTTTAGGGGGAAACAATAGGGTCGTTCCCCATTCCCCTCCCCCCTCGTGACGGAATTCCCCGGCCTCCCCCGTAGCTTCCATAAATATGGAAGTCGTACAACTCGTAGAATAACTACCCAAAATTGCTCTCTTTTTTGATTAATTTAATTGTTAGAGGCAAAATTTTGGAAAATTTTGGAAATTTTTAAAAAAATCCTTTTAAAAAACATCCTTTTTTGTATTAAAAAATTCAAAGAAAATTTGCACATTTTTAAAGGTCTACTATTCAAAAGAAGTAGATACGGGGGATGAATATGCAATAAAAGTTTTGCTCAAAAGTGAAATTCGTCGTGAGGGACGTGCTCGTTATGTACTTAGAGAAAAGGATATAATGGCTTTATTAACTTATTTTTATGGTGCTTTTTTTAATTAAAAAATTATTTTTAGGAAATTGAATTTCGGATTTTTTCAGACCTCCCCGCCCCGTTCCCCGCCCCGAAACAATTCAATTCGGGGCCCAACCCTACTTAAAAAATGACCAGACCTTCCTTCCTCAACTTCACTCTATCCCCCATGGATACACAGCAAAATAGAATGGCTCTGACTAGGGCTGTCGGATAATCGGAAATCCTCGGATATCCGATATCTGAGCCGAAAATTTCTGATATCCGGCCTTTTCGAATCCGGATCCGACAACCCTATAGGTACTTTTCCGTTTTGTTACACCCCCATATATTACTGTTCAGAATGTTATACATAGGGTAAAAAAGAGTGCTGAGTCGAACGGTGCCCCTCTTTTCCCTGGAGATGCCTGTGGACCGAGAAAGGGCTCGAAATGGTCAAAAACCATAGGTCCATTTTGGGGTAAAAATTCGAATATGCAAATAATAACTTATTCGAAAGAGCTCATTTTTCTGTCATTTGACTTCATTTTACCAACCCTAACTCGTACCCAACCCTAACTCGGACTATGTTTAATATTTTAAGGAAGGAGAGGAGGGAACGTCGGAGGGGAGGAATACGAAATTCAATTTTATCTACATATTTTTAAAATAAAAATTAATTTTTAAATCTTAAGAATAAAAAAAAAGTTTAATTTTTAAAGGTGGACATCCCTTCATTATTCGTCTTTATTGTACATTTCAAGACAATGACCGCCTTTGTTAGTCTTCTAAAAAATTTTAATTAAAGAAAATTTTTTTAAGACTTTGCTTTAGCATATGCAAAACACGGAGAATTATTAGATTGGTTAAGGCGTTTAGGGTCTTTCGACGAAGAAGCAACTTTATTTTACGCTTCAGAAATTCTCTGTGCTCTAGAATTTCTGCATAAATGCAAAATTATTCACAGAGATTTAAAACCAGAAAATATTTTGGTTGGGAAAGATTGGCATATTATGCTGTCTGATTTTGGAACTTCCAAAATAATTAATTCTGAACAGACAAATAAAGGTAATTAATCAGTAAATTTGTTGAAATAATGGCCCTTTAATTGAAAGTATTTTTGTAGCTTCCAAAAGTATTCCTAGCTTTTCCTTGAACAATTTAAAATTTTAGTTGTTCCATCTTTTACTTTTTTATTATCAATTTAACATAAAAAATTTTGTGGTTTTTTATTGTTAAATTGCCAAGGACAAATAGAAGGGAATTTTGGAAAAAAGGAAAGATAAAGCTAACTTTTACCTCGGGCAGAAATTCCGAAATTTGCTGAGAAAATTGAACTCAGAAAAATACATAGTGTACTTTTTGGTCAGGTATGTGACCGAAATTGAAAAAAATGTAATTTTCAAAATCCGTAAGATGTAGGTGATCCTAATTATTTCAACTTTTCTCTTATAGGTCTCTCTTACCCCACCCTTTGCCCTTTAAAATATTTTCGAATATTTACATTTATTTTTCAATTAAAATTCTAGAACAATTACCCCAACAAATTTTGGATGATGTAACAACAACATTACCGCCCCCACCAACTTCCTCCCCCAACAAAAATAGTGGGGGCGTTAGAAGTTCTTTTGTCGGTACAGCACATTATATAAGTCCGGAAGTTCTAAAATCTGAAGATGTTGGGTCTGAATGTGATTATTGGGCATTGGGGGCTATTATCTTTCAAATGATTTCTGGACAGCCGTAAATTTATTTTTTGGCATTTTTGAAAGAAGTCAGACGACTCTCTATAAGATACACCCAGTACTAAATACTAGGGTTGTTCCCTAGTCCCGAAAGTCGGGGAATTTCAGACATTTTTTTGAAAATCCTCCCCCCCCCCTCCGCCCCCCGAGGCGCTGCCTCCCCGAAAAACTTTTCCCCGTGCCCCCCCCCCCCTTGTTGGAGAACAACCCTACTAGATACATCACTCTTTAAGAAATTTTTTAACTCTAGGGTAGCCACTGGATGACAAGGCCGTATCCAGCCTACCTTTTTTCGGATCCGGCAACCTTATTGTGTGAGGCTACCCTAGAAAAAATTTCAAAAAAACCCCTCTATTTAAAATACCCCTCATTATAAGTAACAATTTTCCAGCCCAAGGGAGTATCTTATAACAAAGTCTGACTGCATTAACCGAATTTTAAAATTAATTTAAAAATTTTTATTAAAATTTTCGTAGGCCTTTTCGAGCAGTAAATGAATACAAAATTTTGAAGAAAATTCTTGGATTAGATTTTCACTTCCCAGACGGGTTCCCTTCAATTGCCAAACAATTAGTTAGTGGATTACTTGTTTATAAACCAAGCGAACGTCTTGGAAGTGCTGCCAATGGAGGAATAGAAGCGCTAAAAAGACACGAATTTTTTAAGGTTAAATGAAAAATTTTTTCTGGAAATCTTCAAAAAATATTTTAAAAATTTCGAAAATTTTTTTTGAAAATTTTCGAAAAAATTTCTAAAAATTTCAAAAAAAAATTATTTTTTCTCAAAACAGAATGTCAATTGGGAAAATATTTATACAAGAAAACCGCCAGAATTAAAACCTTATTTGCCTGCTAGTTGTGGAGAACCAGCATTTTATAGTGATTATAATCCCTTATCTGGAAATATTGAGCCTGGATTAAATGAAGCAGCGCTTTATAGATTAATGGGGTTGGGGCCTTCTGTTGGCGGTAGTGGGGGATGTACTTCACTTAAAGGATTTATGGATTTTGATTGTATCGAAGGTGCTTAAAAATTTACTTTTTTAATTGGGAACACTTTTCTTTCCCCGTCCTCATTACCTACACTAAGGGGAGGGAGGAGGGTGTACTCAAAACATGAACTTTTTCGACACGAACCCCAATCCGAAGAGAACTTCGAAACCCCGACCGACTGTTTTTCCTGGCCCATGACTTCCCTGATCTACACTCCCTCCCCCTCCTCCCCTCAGATTTTGATACCCCTTTTTACCTCCTCTTCCCTGTTGATAAACAATTCCTCTCTGAATCAAGAATGAAAAAATAGCAATGTCTCGCGTTTCAAATAACGGCTCTATCTTAGGACATGCGTCCCATGAACATTTATGCGTCCCATGAAAGTTTATGCGTCCCATGAACATTTATGCGTCCCATGAAAGTATATGCGTCCCAAAAATAGTATAAGCGTCCCTTCAAAGTATATGCGTCCCAAAATTAATATAAGCGTAAAACAATAGTAAAAACATTTTTTAATTTTATTAATGACAATTAAATATTTTATTATACTAGCGGAGTCGGTCGGCCTTCGGCCGCCCCACCGCGCTAGCAAATTCAAAACAAATCAAAAAACCAAACTTCAAATCAACTTATGATAACCTCAAAAGTTGACTCTAATTCAAGACGCTTAAAAATCGCTACTTTGTAATCATAATCACAACAAAACCGATTATTAAAACATTGACCAGCATTAAAACATTACCAGATTACCAAAACATTTAACAAAGCATATCAAAACAATAACTGATAGCCTTCGGCCGACCACCTCGCTAACCCCAAATTCAAAACACAATTCCCCCTGTTTCACTATTCCGCCTGTTTCACAAATCCGTGAGTTTCAATATTCCACCCGCTTCAAAATTCCTTTTGCGCTTATATTATTTTGGGACGTATATACAATTTTTGGGACGTATATACTTTCATGGGACGCATATACTATTTTTGGGACGCATAAACGTCCATGGGACGCATAAAAGTTCATGGGACGCATAAATGTTCATGGGACGCATGTCCTAAGATAGAGCCAAAATAACACCCAAAAGTCAGCCTTTCAACTGAGCAGCCTGACATAATATAATTTTTAAAATAGCCAAAAGCGGCACATTGAAAAGCTGATTTTATGGTGAAAAGAATGGGAAATTTTTGGAGAATTTTTAAATAAAAAATTTTGGTGAAAAAAATTTTTTAAAAATATTTTTTGAGGGGTTTTGGATTTATTAAAAAATTAAATTAAAAAATTCCGTTGGATTTTTATTTTTTTTTTCGTCAAAATATAATATTTCTGCAAACTTTCCATTAATTTTATATCAAAAAATATTTTTGTTTATTTTCAAAAAAATTTTTTTTCCTAATTTTTTATTTTTGTAACAAGTCTATTTTATATAATTTATTTTTTTAAATCTCTCTCAATTCTCTTCCTGTATTTGTTTATTTTCTGCTGATTTTTTGAGGTTCAACACATTAATAGGGAGGGGATGTGGGCATTTTTTTTGTAATTTATTGGCCTATTTTTTAATAGAAAATTGAGAGGGAAAGTGTGTATTGCTTTTAAGTTTTGTTTATATTCCCCCTCCCCCTCACCAATTAATATAAATATTTAAAAAGATTTTTGAGATAGAATAATTTTGAGAGGATTCATTCTATCATTCATTTAATCCAAAAATTAAAAAAAAATTTTTCCAAAAAATTTAAAAATTCCTAAAAAGCTGTCCCAATCTCTACCATAAAATCAGTCCTTCTTTGTGCTGCTTGGCTTTTTTTTAAAAATTATATGTCCAAGCTGCCCAATTGAATGACTGATTTTTTGAGGTGTTTTTGAAACGTAAGACATTGCTATATTCATATATTAAAATTATTTATTAAAATTTGATTTTTTCCTGGATTCAGAGTTAAAAGGGAGAGAAGGTTTTCTTTACAACCAAACCTTTTTATAAGATTTAGTATTGTAGAGTTGAAAATTAATTTTATAAAGTACCTAAACATTTTAACGAAATCCCTTTGCTTATACTTTTCTGAAAAATTTCTTGTCTTTAGGTATCGGTATCAGTATTAAAAAATCTGTATCGGTCTGTTAAAAAACTGAAAAAAATACTGCCGATACCGGTTAGGATCCCGATACCGGCCAACTAATTTTTCAATGGGGCTTCAAATAGGATTGGGCTTCTGTTTTTGAAATACGAGACAGAAAACTTAACTAAAGTAAAACGTGTACGGTATTTTCTTATCTAAGGAGGGTATGTATCGGCTAAGACAGTCCCCCCTATTACCTTATTCATTGCTCAAAAATTATCTTATAAATCGAGATTATCTAATAATGGATGTATCTTATAACGAAGCTTGACTGTTTATTTTCTCATTTTGAGGGTATCTTATAGACAAGTCCAACAGTTTTGAGGCAAATAAATTTGTTTTTTTTCACAGATTTTTTACCCTCAACATGCTCAATCCCTCCAAGCGCCTCCGCCTCTTCTTCCTGCTCTTCTTTTAGCTCAACCCCAACAACTTCCTCTTTCCAAACTTCAACAGATTTAAACGAAACAACAAATTTATTATTATTTTCGAGTTTAACAGAAGAAGAAAGGGAAAGGAGAAGAAAATGCCAACTTGAACGTCAAAAACAAGAACATAAATACCACCAATTTGTCCAAAATAATTTAATATTAAAATGTGGATTAATTGACAAAAAGAAGGGACTTTTTGCTAGAAGAAGAATGTTTCTTCTTACTGAAGGACCCCATTTATTTTATGTTGATCCTGTTTCAATGCATTTAAAGGGGGAAGTCCCCTTTTCGGCTCAAATGAGGACAGAAGCGAAGAATTTTCGAACTTTTTTTGTTCATACGGTTAGAAAGATTTTTATAAAATACTGCTAGACCTCGTTATAAGGTGTATTGGGACTGAAAAATGATATCTTAGACGTGTATCTTAAATAGAGAGGGTATTGTTTGGGTAGTAAGATTGTTGGATCCGGATCCGACAAAAGACCGGATATCCGGCAATTTTCGGTTCGAACACCGGATCTGGATAGAAGAAGATTTCCAACTATCCGACAACATTATTGGGTAGCTCTCCCACACAGTGATCAACCAAAATCTACAGAACGTATCTTAAATAGAGGTGTATTTTTGATTAGTCACTGTGTGGGAAAGCTACCCAATAAAGTTGTGGGATAGTTGGAATCTTCGGATATTCTGATCCGAGGTCCGAACCGAAAATTTCCGTATCCAGTATTGGGGCTTATCTTATACAAGGGTCTATCTGTATAAACTTTTTGATTTTAATTCTTTAATATCTTCAATAATAAAAATATTTTTTAGCCAAAAAGGACATATTATCTATTCGATCCAGAACGGCATGCAAAGGATTGGTGTGATGCTATTGACTGGGCTCGTGAACAACACTTTTCTTCTTTAAACAAATCAAAAGACAAAGTTTCAACAAAAATAATTGGACAAACTTGTGACAATCAAGGAGGGGGAAATATTCACAATAGCAGCAGCGTTACTAAACTTTTTTCTGGAAGAACCAAAAGTCCTTCTTCGGGTGTTGAATAAAGAAGAAGGAAAAATTTAAAAGAAGTTTAAATAAAAAAAACGGCAAATTAAGTTTGAGAGGGGAAGAACAACAAAAAATTATTAGAAATTATTATGTACTCTATTTTTAGGGTAGTTAAAGGCCAAGTAAATTTTGAAGTATGGAAATAAAGTATTTGAATAATTCATTTTATTGTATATAAATGTAAATAGACAAATAAATATTTGGAATATTTTTTCTTATCTACTTGGACTGGCATGTAATGGTCAATTTTCCTTAGTTCTGATATCTGTTGATTGTGGCCTTAATGAAAAAATGTGCAAAAAGAATTATTTTTTTGCATTTTACCTAATTCCTATTTCTATCACAAACTTTGCCCTAAAGCATGAGTACCAAGTTTTGCATGTTAGAACCAGTGGTCCGATAACTCTGGGTGAGCAGCAGAGTTATTTCGAAACAAAAAATAACCTCAAAAATCGGAAAAAAACTGAAAAAAGTTGAAGGTGTTAGCACTCCATTGTCCTTTTTAATGTAGGCGCTCAGAGTTAGGAATAGTGTTGACATATCTTGGGAGATTCTCAGCTATCCAAATCTAGAACCGAGATCCGAATGAAATTTAGGTATTAGGCTCCAAAAAGAAATTTTTATTAAGGTAATAAGACTGTCTGATACAAAGAGGGCTTCCGGTACAATTTTAAAGGAGTTAACGCCACTGTGTTGGTAATAAGCCAGATTCGGAAATAATAGCCAGATTCTCTACTACCGGCCGAGATATAGGGTTCGAAATGGTCGAATCCATACAGGGGGGGATTTTTTCCAGTTTTTTTCCAATCCCGGTCTTTTAGCTTTGGAGGCAGTTGAGCTTGAACATAGCTATAGAATAAATAAGATCCATTATACGAGCCATAGCATATGAGCCATAAGATTAAATCGAGCCATTATAGGACATCTCAAGGCATGCGACTGCCTTTTTTAATTTACTATAAAAATATGTATATTATTGAATATCATAAGGTAAAGTATCTACTTAAATAAGCACTTTGAAGCTCTACCTTAAGACATGCCTCCCATGAGCGTTAATGCGTCCCAAAAGAGATATATGTCTAATCATAATACAGTGCCGCATAAAAGTATAAACGCACTAGAAAATATCCTGTAGCTCGGGATTAAGGTGTCCATGTTTTATAAAACTTTTTATGCCGTAAATGCTCTATTACTTACCTACACTAATTATAAAAATATTTATTAAAATTTAAAAGGATTTGAATAGGATATCGAGGGATTTGTGTGGATTAAGGTTGATATCGAGGGATTAAGAGGATATGGGTAGAGTTGATAAGAGATTAGGAAGTTTTGGGTGAAATATTTAGACATTTTTCTAATATAAGCCTTAATTCTTCTGTATTTTCTCAACTCATCTGATTCTCAATCTGGAACATCTCCGAATCAGTTGATATTCCAGATTTCCCTCCAATTTCTCCAGATCCGTCTTAATCTCTGTAGACCCTCCGATATCCTTCTAGCTACCTATAACCTCTTGATCCCTCGATACCATACCAAAATCCCTTAACATTCCATAAAAATTTTAATCATAGATTTTTTCACCCGCAGGCTGAAAATTCTGAGAAGTTTTAAGGTCAATACTTTTCTCACCTCTTTCTGAAATAAATGGAGGTCGGGTTTTGGAAAAGAAAATTTCTCGGATCGGGTATTCTCGGACCGACCCACCCAACACAACCCATCCCTATTGCGAGCGTCTATTTAAAAATGCCATTCCCATATGCAAACTCTCCACCCATTTATTCTCCATAAAAACGAGGGGATTTCTTCATTTCCCTATAAAATTTTTTCATTTTTCTATTTTTAAAAAGCTTCCCTTCAGTAAAAAAATTTTCTCAAGTTTTATTCAAAAAATTCTAAACAAAATCCTTTAAAAAATGTATTTTAATACATTTTTCAAGACATTTATTGTCTTGTTTTTTGTTGGATTTGCTCCTCTAATTGTCAAAGGAATGCATAATTTTCCTCGTAAATTTTTACATTTTTATTAGAAGGCCAAGATTTGCTTTAAATAATTTTTAAAAATTTAGTAACTATGCAAACTGGTGGAGGCGAACCGAATATTAATCTGAATGTGTTTTCTCTTTCTGAGTTGTCCTTTCTGATAAATATTTTAGATAAAATTAAAGAAGGAGATTACAAAGATTATGGTTCTGTTGAAGATATGCTCAATGTGAGAGGAGCTGAAGTATTAAGCGAACATGATGAAATTGAACCTCTATTCGTTTTCAATTTTAAACTAAAAATAAGAGCGGTAAGGAAGGGAGGATGATAGTGATAAAGATTGAAGGCAGTGTAGTGTATGGTTCGCGAATATCCGGAGTCGACTATAGCCGGAGCCATAAAATGCCAAATAAACATCCTTGATTTAAAGGCTTCGGACATGAAACCGGGCATTTTGATAAAATCTAGTTTATTCAGTTTCTAGGTTTTCAAAATTTTAGCCAAGAAACCGGCCGAGTTCCAATTTAGAGTAAATTTCATATTCTGACTTTCTGGCCAAAAAAAAAGTTTTCAGCCGCAGGCGAAAATTTTGAGAATTTTGTAAGACCAAGACTTGCTCAAAAATTTTAGCCTGCGTGCTAATAAGCTAAATTTATTGCATCTTAGGTGACTTATTTAAACTTAATCTCAGCGATATACTTAACAAGGGTGTGCCGAAAGTCATTTTAAAAACTGAACGGCGTGAGACGAAAATCCAAAAAAGGCGAAAATCGGCGAAAGGCTAAACTCGCACACCCCTGATACTAAGAGTTCGAACTCTAGTTTCTCAAATAAAAATTATGTTGATCAAAATGGAGGCAGTCAGTAAGTAGTTATTAAAAACGATCCTCAAATTTTCGATTTTTCCATTTAAAAGAAGAAAATTTAAGCAGAAACCGTAGTTCGAATTTTCGTCTCAATAGACTCCTTTGCGAACTCTTTTTTAATTTCTCGTTAAATTAAACTCCCGCCAAAAATACTCTTCCATTGATGTGAAAAATTTACTCATTTTTTCAAAAAGTTCCAGGTCCCATTATCGCCCATTCCCTTATCCCCAAATATAACAATTCTAATTTACAGTTGATAAAACATTTTGAAGGAATTCTTAACAAGTATGAAAATCAAATAAAAGGAAACTATAGAAATTTTGATATATTAGATAAGCTCAATTTTATTAATAGAAGAATTAAAGAGTATAAACAAACTGTTGATGAAGAGAAATATGTTCAATTAATTGAAAAACACGGTTTAGATATAAATGAGTTTGGTGATGAACGAGATCTGAACAATATTCCTGTTTCATTATGGAATATTGGGTAGTTTATACTATTTATATTAAATTGGCTCACAAACTTAAGTTGAGCTAATATTTAGTTGTGGTTAATACTAAGGGATGGGAGGTGGGTCTCTCTGAAATAACAAAATAAGCACTTATAATGGCAAATATGCTCTAAAATATGTAAGTTTTGTCTAAAATTGGACATACAAACAAAAAAGACAAATTTTATCTAAAAATTTAATTGAATTTTTTGAGAAAATCTTTTTAAACAAGTTTATTTCATAGTAGAGTGTTGACTGTCCTAGTCAAAATTAACTTTTTGGACCTGTATACATAGCAGGGATGTCACGGGTTACACGATACCCGGTCTTTTTTTCGACCCGAAACCCGATCCGAGAAAAATTTTGGAAACCCGATCCGAAACCCGACCCGACATTTTTCTCAACCCGTGACATCCCTGATACATAGTAGATTTGGGAATAACAAATACTTAACAATATCTAATCTTGAGCAACATTTAATAATCTTCATAAAATTTTTTAGCGAAAGTCAAGAACTTTGGGAAGATTTAACTGCAATTCTATATCAGGAGAGAAATTTATTTATTTTATACAATTTGTTTATTTTGGCACGAAAATTGATTTTGAAATTTATTTATTATAATTCAGATGGTAGAATTTACGCTTCTATGTATGAGCGTCATGAGCTGTATGAACGGTAAGTTTGTTACAGTACATAATTTAAGGCCGGATCATAATAAATATTTACACGTGAACATCAAATATAGCTCAAAGTAACGGAAGTTCTCAAAAAAGGTGCAAAGAACTCCACGAACGGACGGGGTACAGCCCAAGTAGGCGCGCGGCCAAGTAGGCGCAAAGCCATAACTTGCTTCAAAATTTCCAAATCTTTCAAAATTTAGTATTGAACGATTCCACTCATCGAGCTAAATAGAATGGTACCAAAATTGTTAAGGTTCAGAAATTTTTCAGGTAGTTAAGGCTTTGCGCCTACTTGGCCGCGCGCCTACTTGGGCGTGTCCCAACGGATGTTCTTTCTCATAGGCTTAGCATCGCTACTACCTTATCCCTTGGAAAAGCTACTTTAATGAAATAGGCTAAGGGAGATCACTTCTTCATTAATTCAGTTGAGAGTTGCTGGCCGGCCATACAACGAAGAGCCCTCCATATAGAGATCTCCGTAAACGTGTCTGATAATTTCGACAATGACTAAATTCGCCAGTGACTAAACTCGACAGTAATTAAATTCGACAGTGAACTATTTTTTCTTTTTTCACCGTTTTCCTCGATTTTCGACAGTGATTAATTTCGCAGCGACTAATTTCGACAGTAAAGCCTAATTTTTAAAAAGTGCGGATAATTAGAGAAAAAACTAAAAATTTTTCAGTAATTTAGAAAGATCTCAATAGACGCCATCATTTTTTCAACTAGAAAGATCAAGCCTGATCACTTATTAAAAATTACGAACCGATATGTGCAATTATTTGGCATTTTTCACATTTATCGTTTTATAATTTTTTAATGATTGATCAGATTTGATCCATTCAATTGGAAAAAAGATACCGCTTATCGAGGGCTTTCAAATCATATATGATTTACTCGGATTGGATTATGGTTTAAAAAGTTATAGTCGATTAAAGCTATGTGACACTCAGTTATCGCGCTCAACTAGCCGTTA